ATATACTATTAACGCAATGTGATTGAGGATGGAAATTAGGTTATATAGATCGTTTTCGCAATGTGGCAGTAGTCATATGTTTTGCTATTAAGCCTAGAAGTGCGTGATGTGGATTGCTTGAGTTGAAAATCGGTCATAGACACGTTGGGAGGAAACAGCCGTCTGGAGCAATACTCAACTTACCTTATCTGCCAGATGTATATGGTAGAATATAGCATTAGCTAATTAGCTCCATTAGCTTAACGATTTTCGTCAAGAAGCACTTGAACACTTAAAATACGTACATATATAACGGCTAGACATGGGAAAATTGATGAGCCACATTCGTCTTTACGAAATGTGCTGAAACTGATATTATAAGACGGCTAAGGCAAGGCTTAGCTGGCGTCTAAGATTAAAATTAGTTTCAGCATGTGTTGCACCAACTAGCTTCGGTCAGTCTCCTTTAAAAAGCCTGAAAGCCTATTAGGCTTAAGATAATATCTCTTACATACACGATGCGCACTGTTAGTAAAGTGGATAATTTCGTCCAGCTCACAGTGAGAAGATCGTCATTATTTTGTACGTCTTCAACGTACCCGCAGCGACTACGCAACGAACTAATTAGAGTCCCCCACTTAATTTTTTTTCATTAAAGGATTTGAGTAGCACATTTTACGGACGATGGGACGTTACGAGAGCCTATTTTACGTAGGCCGCGCATGGGTCTAGACCCAGACGATTGAGCTTGTTCCACTCTTATACATCACTCCGAATTAATCTAAGTTTCTGCTAAGGAGTACCACGTACCGCGACAAGGGGAACTACTTTCAGCCTTATCAAAGCTCAAGACGATTTTATACGGAGTTTCTGCTTTGTAAAAAATATGGTATAAGATACGCAGAACTTCGCGTCCTTCGACAACAACGTAGACTGCCGGTTGGCTATTTTTATGATGACCAATCTGCCAGAAGTAGTGATGTGTCCCTCGTATCAAAATACGAAATGACGCTTGCAACCTACTGAAATGTTGGTGAACGTGGAGCATGGCTAGACGTGAGTCACGGTTCATCTTTGTCAGTGGTGGCCAACTTTATGACGCACAATTTGGGACATGATAGCTCGCTAAAACAAACGGTGTCGCATTGAGTATAGATTGACTGCTAAAATCAGTTATCAAGTATGATGTACAGTAACTAAGTAAGAATGTAGTAAAAATACAAATAATCTATTATGGTGGCCATCAAGTGAAACTGATGATATGACCATTTGATACGAATCAATTGTCTGTACTTCGGATGAAGCGAAAATATATTAAGGCAGGATCTGTTCATCCTCGATCTGTAAAACTACAAATAATAACTTATACTCAATCCCTATCTTCATTAGTAACTTGTCCATCAGCCGATTGATATAACACTCAAAATAAATGAGTTTAATTAAAAATAATCTATCGATTTAAGTTTTGAACGAAATAAATAAACAGGTAGGTGAAGATTTTTCAAGCGAGGAACCGAATGATCAGGAAGCCCATTTGCCGGTTTGTTCTAATAATGAAAGATCATTTTTGCCCAACGCCAAAAATTCATATTGGGCGTTCCTTTTTGATACGCCGTCTATCGTTAACGGCAGTACCGACGCACCAATCGGATATGGCATATAGAAAGCTATATTCGACAACAATCACTTTCATCATTTTGCACCCCTCCATTCCTAGGAAAGACTCACCTTCAGACACATCCGTGAATGATCGGAACCGCTTGTCAGAAACAGTACTCTGTACGTATCGTACTAAGACGTTAGCTTTTCAAACGTTTAACTTTGCAAATAAGCTTTCCTATCTATATTATAATATAAGAACAAAGTCGCTAGGTCGAGTCATTTTCTAATGAATGTGAGACAATACCAATAGCCACGAGTAAACCGATCACCTGCCAGCGTGCTGCAAAGTTTTCCCGCCCAAAGAAGGTTATTTAGCTCAATGAGTGCGGCTTCAAGTCAATGATAGCCCAACAACAATAATGTAAGCTACGCGGGTTCTGGTGGTAAAGTTCTACCCGAATACTCTTATAATCTTTCGACTCAAATTGCATTTTTAGGCAGCGGACGACAAGGATTTCAGCCATCACCGTTAGGGCAAAGCCGCTGGCCCTTAAAATTTCATATTGAAAATGTAGACGAACTTCACCTCATCATAGATTCCCAAGAAAGATCGAAGTAAAAAGAGACAGGTGGAGGAAGCAAAGGACAGACCTTGAAAAGTGCCCGATTGGTCAACGATTTCGACATCGACCTCGTATGCGCAAACTAATCGTGCTAGACGAAGTTTCAGATGCTAACAGAGGTAAATTTTACTCGGAGTATAGTTACTTCGCTTGGGTAATCCGCATGGTGGATCTGTCAACAGTCGTTAGTTGTCGGCGATTGATTTGATCACTTAGTCTATGCATAAACAAATAGTTCAAAACGCGATCCTTGAGAACAAAGTCATCGGTAAAATCAGAGGTTTTTTTTTTGGAGAACCACATGTCGAATATAATTAGTAGTGCAGAGCTAGGGTAAAACAGGTAGGGATGATAACTTATCATAGATAGTATATGGTAATATGGCTTCTGTACTCTAACGGAAGAATAGTATCACTTATCACTTCACGATAATTTTAACACTAGTTCTTTTCTTCACTTGAGCAAGTCTTCTGAATTTTTTTTTCAGATATAGCATCAAGATTTTGTTTCCACTAGAAGTCTTACCGTGGCGAATCTTCTCCACTTCGCGAGACTTCTCTGAGGGTCTCTCCAACAGCTTTATAAAATGGTATGCCAACCATATATACAGCTATTACTTCTTATGCCCTGTTTTTCCTGTTAATCATTTTGCCAACGCTAACATTTGAACTAGTATGGTTGCCAACTTGCCATTTATGGTTACCACATCAACGTGCCCTAAACTAACTAATGCACACCAGTTACCCACGCCACCCCTCCTCTGTGCTGATTAAATGAGTGTATTATATTCAAATGCAATATATATATACACACGAAAAGTAATCGCGATCTTTTGTTTATTGCCTCGTTTTTCTGATCTTTAGTTTGCAGCTAGCCAGGCAATTGTCACCGTTTTCTCCTCACTATAAAATGTCACTTTGAGTTTAACCTTGGAAAATAGGTAAATTTGTGGTGAAAATGGCGTTCGTGCCACTTGGTAGTTGTTTTGTATCGCGATCAAGAGGTTACCCCGACCATTCTAAACAGTACAACATGTACGACGAGGATTACCGACGAGGTCCAGACGGGGCATTGTCATCCTAGGCAGCGTACTTCATTAGGTCTTTGGAGTTTAACGACAACTATTAGATGATCACATATACCTTTATGTTTATTTTATATCTTTATCACATGTGTCTTTACCGTATGCATCGGCGAAAGATCTTCGTTTCTTTTTGCCCGGTATGCCCTTCTTTGGAGCTCAAATAAATGGTAAAATTTTGAGAGCAGCATAAAACAATAACAGTAGATGTATAATTCAAGAAAATAATTTTCCAGCAGCATACATAGTTCCGTTGAGTTGTTAGCGTCGTGAGCGTCAGCGCCGTTTGTCCATCAAATTGCTCTATGTGCCTTAAGGGAATAGGATCAGGCAAAACGTCAAGCCGTTTAAACCAACAAATGCATCATCCATGAGTGTATAAAGAGGTGTACTGTTATCTCGTTGGCTCGCCCAACTTTCCGTTAGGGACGACAGACTCTAGCGTCTGTGAGAACTTCCATATGAATATTGACACTGGGACGAACAATGGATGAAACAGGTGAATCGCCTGCAGCTGACCCAATTCGACCCTGAGTTATTAGAAAACCCCCCAACACTGTTACCCCATAGCAAATATCCACCTCCAGCTCTCCTTAACAGCTTTCGCTAATTTTTAGTTACCTTCCCCACGTCTTAGCTCGAGGCCCTGGCTCCATCGATAGGCATATGAGTATAACGACAAACTATCACATAGAAGATTTACCATAATAAACGGTTAGTACCGCGGAGGGAAGGAAGGCCTCTCAGCGTGGAAGAAGCGGAGCGGACTGCCAGCGCAAGTGGGCAGAAAACGTTTCTGCTAAAACCAGTCCGCGCAAGTGGGCAGAAAACGTTTCTGCTAAAATCAAAGTTCGGCTTTTCGTGAATCAAGAAAGAAGGGGGGACAACCATTTCACAACCGATTTGGTGGATTTGCCAAAACGATTCACACGATTTCAGCGCACAAAATAGCTGGCACAATGTGAAAGAAGTTGAAAAACAAAAAGCTCGACGTTTAACGGCCCACAACTTTTCCTAACAGCTAAGTTCTTCAATGCTGCCTCTTCGAAATTGATAAATCGTCCGTTGAGTTGAAGTTGAGGAGTCCAAGATCATCACTTGCGCGATGGCTTTGTCGGCAGAGCGAAAGAACAGTGCTGGAACCAAATCAGCAGCAGAAACTATTTTCATAAGCTTTCGATGCATTTTGCCCAGAGGGTAATTTGTGCCCCATCGTGTCTTGACAGGAGGAGTGGTATTCTGGGCTAACAGCCTGTAGATGATAAGCTGTTGACGGCACTACGGTAAGCGAATGAGTGTCAGTTATATGAGCCTACCAAAGAATTCATTTAGTAATACGTTTTAAACGTAATCGTTAATGTTGAATAACGTTGAATAGCTAAGGCTTTGACTGAAAGGGACCAGAGGTCGCTACTACAGAATCAGTCAATGGAACAATAGGTTCTATGAACCATGTGCGACTAAATAGGGCTATTTGTTTTGATTTTTTCTGTTTGATTGTACTCCTGGCGTACTTTATGTATATCTCGTGATTTATTCATATCTTTAATATAGAACATACTATCGGTAGGGCATATAATTAGACCTCGCCTGAAAACGTCAGCACTCTGTGAAGACACAGCGTAAACTTCACATAGCATATTTTTGTGTGTTATTCCTTCACGCTTTAAATATATTTGTACATCTATGAAGCACGTATCATACATTGTACTTACCGGATCATTTTGTGCCTTAATAGTGAGGTAGCCCGGTCTGTGCGTAACGGCGATTTGCATCGCATTGCTGCTATCTGAAGAATGTTGATGCTGACTGTTAGCCATTGTAGCGCCCACGACCGTTGGATCCTGGCGAGCAAAAAAAAAAAAATAGAAAAAGGTCCTTTTTCGTTGTTTTATCTTATTTGTCAATCAAGAAACGAAAGAAGAATATGCACGGAAAGATTGTTTGAATTTAAATGTTCTGGATCAATACATAGACGAGTTTAGCCACGTTTCTATACTTTTAAGCTGTCACTGGATCTGGTGGACTTTAAAATGAAGTTACTTTTGAACTGCTTGGGTTACAACCGTGTTTTTTTTTCTTTGATTGTGTTAGGTGTACTCTCCTTTATTATTTGCAAACTTGATATAGATAGCCATGTACCTACTATTCACGTTCCCATGTGTATTTTCTCTATCTATGTCTTCTCGAAGAGGGTCGATAGTAGGATATGCTTACCTACCATTTGCCTTTTCCCGGGCATAGGGGGCTTGGCAGTCACATGGGCCTGGATCGGGAGAAGAACTGCTAAAGTCAATAGAGCCTATTTCTTCGCTCGATCCAGGAGGTATTGGGGAATGGCAATGAGATTTGGTATTTGGTCACTAAATAAGCAAATAACATGTTTTTAATTGCTGTGCTAACAGTCCAGAAATCGCTTCGGAAACTTGAGATATTGAACTGCGTTCATTGCCTCATTTTCGCCGAATATCTGATAGTAGCGGATGCCCCTGATCTGCATTGCAAGAGCATTGTTTAATACTTAGATAAGCTGGAATTAAGAACATTATTAGCAAACACCGACCGAAGATGTAGCTTTATTCTGTCCAAACTAGTCTAGGGGTAAAAGAAAGCTGGAAATAAAAGCAAACCGCGGTTTTGCCCATATAAAAGTCGTCCTGGGATGCATTCGACGCAAGAAGGCATTCTCATTATATCCGTGTCTGCAAACGAAGCGGTCATAATTGAACCTCTTATCCAGCACTACTACACTGAGACACTGGTCATATATCACCTACATGTAGCCTAGGTCGAGTATCAATTAGGTTATCGTGGCAGAGTGCACTTGCTACCTTGACAAGGTCACTCATAAGTGGAGCTAAGTGCAAAACAGAGGCAAATTGACACCACACCACGAAAGCGATGGGACTAGAAATAGAGCCAGTATATCGTAAGCAATTTCAAAAAACCATTGTGATGATACAAACGGAGATAATTATAAGGAAGACGGACTAATGATCTGATAGCAGCAGTTACAGCTGGCACGAGAAAAAGAACACATGGACCTTATGGAAGCATTAAACAGTAGTCGTGGCGTAAAAAATTAATTCCTACTGAACTTTCGTTTTGATTTTAGAAATTCGGGCTCAGAATTAACGTCGCTTTTTGTCTGATTTTTACCTATCGACTGGCGTCGCTGCCTAAAATAAATCTCAGTTAAAGGTGTCGTTCGTGCAGTAATTTAATACACGGTGCCACAAAGAATTCACCTTGCACCAGTTAATTCGACTACCTGGGTGCTGGATTTTTTTTCTGGAAGTGAAGAGTTCCTTAAAACTTGCATATTACAAGTTTCAACATCGAACGTAGTCCGCTAAGATGTCGCTCGTTCAAGTGTTGCAACTCAGATCGGCACCATTATTCATTACCTTAATACTAACGTAGCTAATGTAGATGCCGGGTACTTCACTTGATCCACGTGGAAGATATTTCCTTTCAAGAAGATTAAGTACCATGCCAGACAGGCGATTCCTAGTTAGGCAAATTCATACATAGTACATTAGTGAGCGAATTAATACTGATCCTTGCTCAGTATTTTCGACAGGTTTTCTTAGGTGTTGTCTTTAAATTTAGCCGGGAGTTCGAATTGAATATTGTTTCGTCTTTGCAAAGCAAATTTACCTATTGTAACCTATATCTCGAATTTAGCATAGGTCGGAACTTATTGGACAGTGTAGGGCATGTACTAAATATTAATTCAGTGTTCTCCTTCGATATTAATCCAATCGAAATCGCCCTTTACACACATCCTCATCGGTGAAGAAGCCTACAATAGTTTTCATGAGCTCACTTCGTATACCTCAAGCATATAAGATGCCTGGAGGTTTTCGCGGGCATTTTTAAAATTTTTACGTACTAATAGAATAATTATCACCTCACAGCCTGACAAGTAGTGCGTAAATGGTAGCTGAAGCTAATGGCCTCTAGCGTATTGGCCATTGAAAACGACCACAGACTACAATAATCATCTATACACCTAAGAGCTCGAAAGTAACAGCTGGGGCCGGGGTCACGCGAAGCACCCGCATAGGCATCATCGAGTCAATCTAGATATGCCAGATGCATATTCTGTGAATGCTTGTTCGGAAGAGTCTTTGCGAGCGATTCACAACAACCATACTATTTAAAACATTAACTGTAAACAGGACAGCTTTTGCTATACATTTTGGTATACGTAAGTAGCCGTCCAGTATATCGGTCGCAATGTGTGCTGTGCTAGGCCTATTACTAGCAGCAATATTGGTGTGGCTGACTGGGCGACAGGGTCAAACGTTGCGAAGGAGTTGATAAATAGCAACAATTATAACTATGGAAAGCTTTTGGTTTGAAAATCACTACGTAGGGAAAGTATGATTAGTTCCACTAGGAATGACGTTAGCATAGGGTACGTTCGCTCGCCGAATGATGGGATATAATCTACAGAAGAATATAACATAAAAACAGGTATGTGCCTATTATGTTTGTGTTTATTCATGCTTTATCAGTGAGCTATCATAATGGATAACGATGCTGTAAACACCACAAATATATATTCATTCGGTTAGTAAATAAGCCTGTTCTTAATTTTTCTAGATAATCTATTAAAAGAATAGGTTTGACTAGGGTTTGTTATTTTTTTAAATTCTGCTTTTGTCTTCCGCCTTCCATAGAAAGTGCGTGACCATAACATTCATTCCGGTGTATATTTCTGCCTAGATCCCCTTGACAAAACGGAATCCAGTCGATTCCAGACGTTCTAAAGGAAAACAATAGATTTTCTCTATCGACTCCATGTCCGCCTAGGCTTGAGATCAAGCACTCTGCAATACAACGAAAGTAGCAAATAACCAGCGCAGGAAGCCCCGTGTCGTGCACGAACGCCTCACTAACGTCTTTCTCTCGAAGTGTTCGAAATAGCGGCAAAATCTTAAAAAATTTATTCTATTCCGTACTTAGGCAAGCGGAGTCAGCGCCAACGGCCGCCACAGCCTTTAACTTCAGCACTTGTGGCCAATAGTTGGCCTTCAACAGTAACACTGTTAAAGGCCAACCTTCGAAGACAACTCGAATTTCTATTTCAACTCTGGGCAATAGCAGATTTGAAAAATTTTTGCCAGGGGAGAAAACCTACTGGGAGCATAGGCTGCCTATAACAATATATATGAGATAACTAGCTCTGTGTATGTATATATGTATATACGCAGATTCTTTCAATTATGTAGTATGTTGATGAACCCATGCTTGGTCAAATGCGGAGTGTTACTAACTTAAACCTAAAATTATCGTTACCTGTTTTTTTTAAATTATCGTTGGCATCGCAAACCTAAATCCTAAATTTTCTTTGCAGTTCTCTACTGTTACTATGTTAGATAAGCAGTGACACCTTTTAGGACCAGCACAAAAGCAATCGTATGCCTGTCTTCAACTAGGCTCGAACGTGGACTCTACCATCTCATCGTTACTGAGACTGAGTTTATTTGTACGTAAACGCGTTGCTGTCACTAGACTGTTTCAAAATGAACTCGTTTAATATCGTAGTTAATCAAGAACATAGTATTTTTTGTTTTTTGATAATTTGCTCGAAACGTTTAGAATCAGCATCAACGACGAGCTAGACCTTTCCGGGATCGAAACATACTGTCCTGACTACTAACTCACAATAATTATATTTTTAGATTGGCCTTCTCGTTTACTCACGTTTAGTCACAACAAGGAGTGGGCGTCGGTGGCAGTACTTAAGACCTGTTTATAACGCTACTTTCTTTATACAGGATTGATAGATTTGTGGCGAACAGAAGATCAATCAATGTATCTAATCACAAGTCTTTGAGGCCACTGAGATTGATTCAATCATATATCGAATTTTAATAAATGTAGACACAACAAAAAATATGTGTATGTATCTAATGCATGGACCATATATGTTTGTTTGACCGACTCCTTGAGGTCGAATCGAACAGTCTTTTTGGTCAATCGCTAGAGAGTTTCATCCGAAATAGGGCTGTACGTAAGGTAGGACGGATTAGATGACTACTATTTGCCCATGGGATATTTGTTCTTTATACCATAGAGCGTAATACTAATTTGGGTAGATCAGTTGCTTTTTCAGCGATGTATGCCTATTATTGGGCGTTTTTCCCTAGAGTATTTCATACATATTTATAGAAAAAGGTTGTGCAGGCTATACCTTTGGTTGGATTTTTATTGAAAAAAATTTTCCAGTCACAAAATGCTAATCGAATATTTATTTAAAGGTCTACATGAAATAGATCGTTTCTGAAAGGTCTCAACGAGATGACTCAAGCTCCAGTTTTTAGGTTCTTCGAAGACCAAAATTTATTATGGTAAGAGTTTTTTGTTTGACGCCAATCGATCGGTCTTGACAAGCTGGGTAATAATAGTGGTGACTAACAATGACGAATATTTATTGAACAATTTTTTAAAAATATCCTTTAGACATTTTTTTAGATAAAGGCATCATCGATAGCATTTCTTTTCACGCAAAGCATCACATTATGAATGCCAATTGTCTGTACCAGTCGATAGATTTGGCGAGCCAAGGAAGCATGCATGCTCCTTTAGCTGAAATGGCTATGGGCGTGAAAAGGATGGTAGCTTATTCGCTTAAATGACTCTGAGCTAAAAAGAGAAAAAAAAGTAGAAACGAAAAAAAAAATAGAACTTTATTGTAGTAATTTTTTGGAGGTCGATCTCAGTTTACGCACCGAAAATGACGTTTGAAAAATGGAAAAATTAAGATAGTGTTCTATGCAATCGACGATCTCTGTTAAAGACGACTCGATGCGTTGAATCAGAATATCTGTACTCAAAATTATCCCCTTGTCGGCTTTGTCAGTTCATCCAATAAGAATGGAGTAAAAATTCGTTCTGAGTCGTCATTTGAGTTAATTTTTAATAAAGGTCAGTAAGAAAGTTGAAACGGCAAATGTAAGATTGATCTTCATAAAAACATAGTTGAGAGAATGAATTTATATGTTGCTATTTATTGACAAATAAGAAAATTAGAAAAAATAAAACCGTAGACCTAGGAGTGAATCATCATGAAATGTTTATGATATATACTTTTAGTCCAGTATTATAAACCAAGAAAAAAGGTGACGTCCAGAGAGTTTAAAAACAATATCATTTTTATAGCTTTCATTTAGAAAAATGTGCAACTATTCATTAACAAAAAAAGAACAAACATCCTTAGGCTTTGGTGAAATCTTAATAACGAAATCAATCGGTTAATTGACCCTGTGGATAGTTCAGTTTCCCGCAGAGATCGGAAACAGAATCAACTAGTGCGCGCGAAAAAAAAAAAAAAACATTGAAAATACACTGCAAAAGAAAACATATCACGAAAATAGCAAAGCTAGAGCTCGCTAAGCCTTCTGACAAAATAACGAAATAATTGCAGATGGTTACGTGAAACAAGCTAAATACAACAAATCGGATCGTTCGTATATATAACATGGGTACTTGTGAATGGGGTTAGGCTTATTTGAAAATTAGCAGCAAGTAGCAGAAGATACAAGAGGAAATTTTTCAGCCGTAAGGAGATTTTTCCCCTGTTAATACATAGGAAAAATATAGCAAAAAAAAAAAACATCTTTGCTCATAGCTTCTTCCTTGTGATTCTCGCCTGCTAACGATCGAACCTTACAAACCGTCGCAAACTTCTTTCTTTGTCTTACAAAGGAACTTCAACAATTCGATCCGGGAAATTCGGAAAGGGAGTGGCGATGTCGGATCAAGGAGGAATGAACTCGAAATACTGACTTTTTGATGATATTGAAAAGCGGCGGAAATATTCTAGGGAATTTGCTCTGCAGATTGACAGGAATCCACAGCGAAGAAATATGAAAACTACTGCAATGCTTATCTGTTTTAAACACTGACTCAGACACTGACTCAAGGCGATACTTGTTAAACTCGGATATGTCGATCGAAGGCATAGGCTCATTGGGGAGGAAATGCCATTCTAACAGCTCACTTTGGGATATCTGTATTCTAAGTTATTGCCTTCAGAGTACACAGGACGTCTGAGCCACGAGAAGAACCATCCAAAGTGCTGCCCCTGGCGCTAGAACTTTCACACCATGATGACGAGAACCGAGTAACAGACCACTGTAACAAAATTGACCAACACCTAATGCTAAAACCGGCTGACGATATACCAACGAGCACTCGTCGTAACAATCAAGCTAGTTTTACTTCACCTCATACATTGAATCAGATTAGCTTAATTTAGCCTGGCAGGAACGAGCGTTTCACAGCCGCTTTGTACAGCAGCAGATGTGCATTCATGCATAGATTGATTTATTTTTTGTTCCTCTGCAACATGGCCACGCCCTTCCGGCGCGATATTTTCATCAGACAGTTGACATTCCCGAGTTGCGTCCAAAAGTCAACCCCTTCCTAGACGCTTCGATGGTCTCTCCGTGCTTGTTCCACCGGTTAGTCCTTAGAACAACTGCTTAGACGTCCTGACACTTCGAAGTAAACCTTGTTGTGATAGTGATCCGGCTGATCCGAATAAGGCTGATGCTTACCTTCACGCAATGGGTTGACAAATCGGTTATCAACGGAGTATAAAAGATGCACTTGACGATCTACTTCTGCGAATTTTTACACTTTACGTGCAGACGCGCCCACGCTCAAATCCTTCTGCGCGAAAAATAGTACACCGTTAGCAGTCAAACAGCGTTCTCTGCGCTTGGATGACTCTGACAAAACATCAAGGCCTCGGTTGGCTGCGAAAATACGGTTTAATTTCCTCTGGAACAATAAAGAATGTCTTGCCTGAGTAGAAAAAACGTCAATTTTTAAACCATCTCGCAGATATCTATTGAGGGTTTGTCAGTTCATGCGCCGCGAGGTCGGCATCGTTTGAGAGGTTCGTGATGATCGACTCTTCCAGTCGTTCGAGCTGTGCTCCGTGAAGTGGATCCGGATTGTATTGATAAAATGCGCGGCTAACACAGGGGCTTTGGATGTTCTTAACAATAGGCACCAGACTTCTTCAGCATATGGTCTCACACCACCGAGACTACACTAGTATAAAAAGTTGCCCACGTTGCGGAGAAAAAGGCTGATCCCGCCCGTTGTTGCATGTTACCCGAGCACACATCCAATTCAGAAGACAAAGCCGCTTGGCACTCATGAAATCCTAAGTATCTCGCAAATCCAACTGCCTTGTGGCAACAACAAAATTCATTTAGTAAGCCAGCTTTCTCTAAAGGAAAATTTTCGTACAGTATTTGCTATAAGCTTTTCTACGTCTTCCTTGTACCGATCCTGAAATTAAACCAACGTGCATACATCCTTGCAAATATAGACGCGCCTACCCCCATGAGGGGGTCCGATGGGCATTTTCATTACTTCGCAAACGCCACCCTTACACTCTCAAGATTTTGTTTAAGCGTCTCGTCGAAGGCCAGTAGAATCAACTCAATTTCCCAGTCGTTGGAGCAACTTTTTTCGTAATTTTAATCATATTGCCAGCCATCCCCTATTGACGGCTTCGAAACGAAGTAGACTGACTTAGCCTTGTCGTTGGCTTACAGAGAGGAGTGCCTTACGGACATTTGCTTTAACCTTATATAACTGCAGACGCACTTTTATTTGTAGCTCAGTTTATTTCAGTTTTATTTATTAAAACATATATAGGATATATATATATATATAATACTGTAAATTTCGCTACATACTTGATGTTGCGCCGGCGGATGAACACAAACATTGTTTTTGCAATAGATGACATCCCCGTCAAGGGCGTAGGCAATCTTTCGGAGGTGGTCTGGCGAACGCGCCGTGTAGGAAGGCGCACTTTGCCTTCGGCGAGGCCTTTTGCTGTTCTGACATCCGTCGCTCAGGCCATCACCGTCAAAGTTAGAGCCGTCTCGTAGCCGACCCGGCAACCGCAAAATATCTGACGCTCTCCGCACCAGCTGGTGCAATGCCATACTTCGCTAGCGTGTTACCTGAAAGTATATACGACATTAAGAGTGGAGTAATAAAACAAATGATAGCTAGTATAGGACTGCGTCCTCGCCCTTGGATCCAGTTCCGTAGATTATATATAAAAAATATATATATATATTTTTTTTTTCTAGCTATACGAATATGTATGAATAGCCATAATAGATGGATTTCTGCTGAAAAAAAAATGTATAAACTGATGGTTTTTTTTTGTCAAATAAAAAAAGAAAGCGAGCCAGGGTAACAAAATTGACCCTTTTAAACTGCGTTTTCCCATTTCACCGTAAGATGATTCGTGCTTCAAAAATATGTACTATCCGTCCAATCGATTCAAATCTAACGTTCATCACGGCTTTCATCATTTCAGACTGCAATTTAGGAGAACAGACCTCCATCTAGCCAATCCGGATTTCCGTGCCATTGCTTTATTAGCTTATGTGTGATTTATTACCAATAAATGTGAAGCAAAACATCGACTAACCTGTAACTGTTTTACATTGATGCCGGCAGTTACATAGCTCTGTAGCCCAGGACGGATCAGACGTTACCTTTATACAAACACAATTATGCTGATGTTAATAGATTGAAGGCAGATTATGATTGATGTTCACTTGGAGGCCAAATCAAATAGTTTTCTAACAACGATAAACGACACAACGCACGGACGATAGCACACACGGAGTCCACATAGACAAAGCTATACGCTTCAACGTGCACGTTCTGGAAAGCGTACGTACGCATTTACGAACGACTTCTAGAACGGCTCGAACAGTTATAGTAGCATCCCTTAAAGACGGGGCAGGTCGCTCGACGGTTACTGAACCAAGCAACCGTCAGACAATATAGGGCATGCTCTGGTTCATTAACCTAACTGCTATTCCGATGATGCATAAGTTCCCGCTTATGTTATTATGAAGTTATTCTATTATCACAAATATCATCACAGTAATTAATCAATAATAGCAATGCTTACGTTTCGTTTTTACAGAGGAAACACTAGTCTCTATTGTAACTTCCTAATAGACCCATATCTCGTTTAGGTTTTTTTTTTAAGTGAATAAGTATGCTTGACGATGTCCCTATTAAAAGCTACGATTAATAAATATATAATTAGTTTTATAACTGAGAACGTCTGGATCTTATCAAGTTTAGGTTATAAGGAACTGGCCAATAGACCCGAAAGCGGGGCATACACTTAGGGGTCCACGTTTACGAGGTGAAATAGATAACGAATAGAAATAGCTTAAGCTTTATTGACATCACTTCGAGGCTATAAAGAAGTGAGCCGCTTTTTGTATAACGATCTTCAGCGTTCGGTCACGGTACACGCAGCGTCGTGAGACATTTCGATATTTTAAGACAGTTCCTTTAAGCGTATACGATGAATAAGATTAACCAGGACAAATGCCAAGAACGTCAATTTGTAGTAAATAGATGTAAAAATGAAGCACGTCCAATGATTGTCTTCTCTGTCAACAACAGCAGAAATAAAACTGAAGAACATTGGCCGGTACATGTGTTAAAAATTTCTATACGATTACATATATATATTTTCATGTAATCATAATGGTTGCTTTGTGATGTTAATAGTTCCAACAAACAGATATACTCTATACACAATCTGTGTAAATAAAGATGTTATTATGAGTACTACGAGGATGACTTAACGCAGTACTCCCTTCACATGTATTTTCCTTACAACGACGTTCGGAGGTCAGTGGAAAAACAACAGAAATTAAGAGAAATACGTACGATTTCGATTTTCAATTCAGCCCAACGTTGTCCTATGAAACAGATAGCGAGACCTATCACAGCTGACTTTCTCCCCCCCCCCCCCTCTCTCTCTCTCTAGGATTCTACTTTCACCACATAAATAGGTCAACTCCTATTGAAATTCAGATCGTCTTGTGGCATCCGATTTATACATCAACAACCGGTTCGTTACGTTGACGATGCGTGAAAATGTAGCATTGGGCTATTTTGCTGACCTACTTTGCCAGGCCATTCGCTAGGGCTGACCAGAGCGGCATTTGCAGGAGGTGGCAGTCACGCTTATGAAGCGGTGATGACTGCAACAGCATTCAACATGGTTCGATGCCGCTGGCCGTTTTCTCTAGTGACGAAGTAACGAGCACACCAGCTTAAAACAAACTGCGTTTTTTCTTTGCCAGACGCACACACATGTACAGGCCAACCGTGTCTAGTGAAACAATCGGTGGTAGCAGTTCGATCCGCTGACATGTTCTGGAGACAAATGGTGGTACATTGCCATAAGTATCGGTGATTTCAATTAATGGTTTTTTGGTTTCAAGTGAACAATAAAGCTAAAAGTTTAGAGAGAACCCAGAAGAGTATTCGATGTAATCATTTTTACAACAATGTAGTAGTCGCAATTTCGTATAAATCCACAATGCACATAGAAGAAGATTAGCCTTAGGTATCAAAATAATGGTCCGTCAACACAAGGACCCTTTCATTCCTTGTTGATGCATGTGCATAGAACAAATTTGTCAACTCTGACGCCCAAGTACTATCTTGGGTGTAAAACCCTCAGCCAGAGTCAGAACCCCTGCTCAATGCATTACCCGCCTGGAATTGGTTGGTAAAAAAAAGGGCTATGGAAAGATCCTGGATCGTTTAGAAAGACCACAAAAAACACACACACTCTCTCTCTCTTTAGCGATTGGCGTAGCAGAATCAGCGGGGCACTCACCTGCCTTAAGAGATCGTTACAAGCACTCATATATAAATACACGTATGTCCGCTTGATGTGGCTTCTGGCGTATGAAGTCAATACTGGATACTGACCGTTCGTTAAGTGTTTGTTAGTCATACAAATAAACTAGCCGTCACGACGCATGTAGAATGAAGGAATTTATTAACTCGCATGTTTCAGTCTCAGCTCGACCTATATCTAGAAGTTTGTTCGATTCCCCCTCCTGACGACTTTCATGTCGTGTAGTTTTTAGCTTTAGTGTCGTGTAGAGGAAGAGCGGATTTGTTCTCATTGTCATCTGCCTGTAAGCACCTGTACCTGCAATACGTCTTTCGGCTGAGGCCACTAGGGTAGGAAAGAAATAAGTTAGACACCACAATAGAATTATATATATTGCATATTCAATGCACAACACGACACGATAATAGGCCATCGCGCAAAGGGCTTGCGGTGATCCTAATCGAAAAGTAGTCGTACTTCGTAAATCGTTGTCAATTAGATGTCTCTTATTAGCAGTTTACGAAAAGAAATGCAGAAACCTGTAAAATAAATAAAATAAATAAATAGTAAGAATCGAAAACAGATTGCAGATTAAGAAAAAAAGCTTATAGCTACAAACTGATTACGACACTGTCTAAGTCTTTTGCGCTTTAATAGAATGCAGACGCCAGTTCACTCTTTATACAGAATTACCAATTCACTTAGTTCTTTTTTTTTAACGACCCTAAACTAACGGGTATCCGCGGCGCATCTACTATATGAATTACTAACTTTCGGTAAACGTACAATTCAATTAACGACGTAATAAAATGGACTAGTTAAGCCAGAATTTAAAAAAATTCTAGTCAGCATGTCGCCGTAGGCACGGCGAACTCCGGCGAAGTTATCGTCCGCCGGCAGTTCTTATGCGTCAACATATGTTGCTTCCATAGTGTCTAACCTCTTCATTACGAGTACCGGATACCCACATAAAGAGATATCTAAGTTATCCTTCTATGCGTATGTGCATAGTTACATCATAACATAAGTAAGGTATAATAGACAAGATGACTTGCTTGATTACTATTTCTACTGCGAGGCGACTTTTCGTCATCGCTACCAACGAAGACAGACATCGGCAGGTTGTAGTTTCAGCATTACTAATCCTACAGAAGTTTCTGCTAATGTTTCAGTGCTGCAAATTCGTTTCCAGTCATGCAAGTGATTGGGAGAAAGCGATACATATGGATACCTGCAGGTTGACTGGCGTAACTGACCGAGGGACACTGAACAGTTGAAAATGAGTTTGATTCAAATATCGCTCATCTAGGTTCGAACCTGAGGAATCTATCTACAGCGAAGCCTGGAAACTCTAAGGCCGTTTCGAATGTCTGTAGCCCTTGCGCCTCGATACTTTCCGCTGTTCATTGCGCCAACCGCCATTGTAAGTGTCCCTTGCATGGTTTTGCTTTCTGAGCAGCTAGCAACAAGAGTACGGGACATTCGCAATAAATCAAGTTTTTATGTTTTATGTCTAACGCCGTTGCCTCAGTTGGACATTGCTTCTTTCAACACAAGGCTAAGTGTGTCAAGGCCCGAAATATGCCGCCATCATCCAGGAACTGTTGTGCGAAACTACGATAGGTGGATGCAAACGCAGAGTTCGGTTATGTGGATTATCGAGACCTGGTACACCCAAATCTGCGTAACATATAGGCGAAGCCAATCTTAATAGTTAGTACAATAATAATGATAATCAACTGATATCAGTCGTACTAATTTTGAAAAATTGAGACATGCTCCTTTGGACAGTTATCAAGCGTGGGAGCAGCGACGTGATCAGCGGGCCGATATTGATATCAGTTCTCGAGGAAGTTGCGAGAATGATTAAGTGTGCTCGTACATCTGTATAATCGTCGCTCAAAAGGAGAGGGTAATTATCTGCCCGTTTGTGTCGACAGGAAGAACTGGGACCTTTTGGAATTCTTTAAGCAGCAAGCCCGAACCAAAGCAGTGGTAAAGACGCATGCGTAGGACGTGCAGAAGCGTAACGCTGTCGCCATCTGGTGGCTGCAAGAATTAAAAAGCCGGGGGCTCGTCACTATTTGTGATCTACGATGGATGGCAGATGATAATCATAGAATTGCTCGCAGTGAACTAATAAAAATCATCTCGCTTTAGTGGCACAAACTACCATAAGAAATTTATAGACGCTAACTAGCGTTTCTGCTATTGGTAATGAACACAAATGCGTCATAACGTATGCCAGGTAAATATTTATGGCACATAAGTGAACGAAAATGTCTGGCGTGATAATGGCAAAATGCGAATCAAAAAAATTTTTATACAGTTCATTATTAGAAGAAAAACTAGAATAAGTTACTTAAAACTGCTGCCTGGTGGGGCTATCCAGCTGCCGTTCAATTATCTACTCCGTTCGGTGACTGTCGAAAACGAATTTGCAGTGTTAAGTCGGCAATTAGATATCTGATAAACAAAGGCAAACGCTCTATCAACGCTCAAGTATGACAGGGTAAGTCTGCGCGAAAGGCAGACGTCCAGATAGCACCGGTGCCTGTACCATAATTCTACAATCCCTTCCGTCACTATTATTCGTGTCTTGGCAATGACGTTGAGAACATCTGTAGCAAATTGACGGTGCTAAAATGGTAGACGCGGTGGATGATCATATCGTCATGAAAGCGTCCGGCTAGTAAAGACGAGGGGGCAGACGCCTGATGTTTTGCTGTACGTGACGCGCGCGTCGACCTGAAAGGCCACTGACCCGTCACGAAGTACCAGTGTTCTCCTAAGCGTCATTCAGCTCAGCGTTACTTGCTTGCTTTCCGCTTC